AAGAACAGAAATAGAGGACAGAGCGAAGTAGAGAGCAGAACAAGGGGATAACAATAGCAGGATCCGGTTCAGGCCCCGACAAAAAATGCACATACTTCCCTATGACCTCCCTCCTCACCCCCTAGGACAATGAGTCGCGAGCAGCTCCTTGCAAAGCACGAATGCTGACATCAATAGGGGCCTGCGCTCCAAATCTGACGGGTCTCTCCGCCCCTCACCTACTTCACCGTAGGCGGGGCCTGTACGATGACATCACGCCAACTGGGCGGGGCCTGGAAGACCAGCTAAAGAGCAGCTAGAGCAGAGAGGAGGGGCTTCTGCGGTGACGTCATGCCGAGTGGGCGGGGCCGCGGAGAGTGAGGGCAAAGAGGAGCCTGCAGACTGACCTCACGGAGAGAGAGTGGGCGGCGCTAAGGCGAGCAGAAAGGGGGTGTAGGCGGGGCCTGTACGATGACATCACGCCAACTGGGCGGGGCCTGGAAGACCAGCTAAAGAGCAGCTAGAGCAGAGAGGAGGGGCTTCTGCGGTGACGTCATGCCGAGTGGGCGGGGCCGCGGAGAGTGAGGGCAAAGAGGAGCCTGCAGACTGACCTCACGGAGAGAGAGTGGGCGGCGCTAAGGCGAGCAGAAAGGGGGTGTAGGCGGGGCCTGTACGATGACATCACGCCAACTGGGCGGGGCCTGGAAGACCAGCTAGAAAGAGCAGCTAGAGCAGAGAGGAGGGGCTTCTGCGGTGACGTCATGCCGAGTGGGCGGGGCCGCGGAGAGTGAGGGCAAAGAGGAGCCTGCAGACTGACCTCACGGAGAGAGAGTGGGCGGCGCTAAGGCGAGCAGAAAGGGGGTGTAGGCGGGGCCTGTACGATGACATCACGCCAACTGGGCGGGGCCTGGAAGACCAGCTAGAGAAGAGCAGCTAGAGCAGAGAGGAGGGGCTTCTGCGGTGACGTCATGCCGAGTGGGCGGGGCCGCGGAGAGTGAGGGCAAAGAGGAGCCTGCAGACTGACCTCACGGAGAGAGAGTGGGCGGCGCTAAGGCGAGCAGAAAGGGGAGTAGGCGGGGCCTGTACGATGACATCACGCCAACTGGGCGGGGCCTGGAAGACCAGCTAGAGAAGAGCAGGTAGAGCAGGGAGGCGGGGTTGTGCGGTGACGTCACGCAGACTGGGCGGTGCAGAGCAGAGCAGCTAGAGCAGAGAGGAGGGGCTCATGCCGAGTGGGCGGGGCCACGGCGAGTGAGGGCAAAGAGGAGCCTGCAGACTGACCTCACGGGGTGGGCGAGCAGAAGGGGAGGAGGCGGGGCCTGTGCGGTGACGTCACGCCAACTGGGCGGGGCCTGGAAGAGCGGTGAGTAGAATGGAGGGGGCGTGGCCTGTGGAGTGACGTCACCGAAGAGGGCGGGACCGCGGCAAAGAGAGGGAGGCGGGGCCTGTGCGGTGACGTCACGCCAACTGGGCGGGGCGTGGAAGAGCGGCTAAAGAGCGGTGAGTAGAATGGAGGGGGCGTGGCCTGTGGAGTGACGTCACCGAAGAGGGCGGGACCGCGGCAAAGAGAGGGGGCGGGGCCTGTGGGTGGCGGAGGGGCGGAGTCTCACCTGACGGGGGCGATGTGGAGCTCTTCGGGGTTGGCGAGGCGGCGCCATGCTCCGGCGAGGAACTCCCGGCACCAGAGGAAGGCCTGGCGGCGGGTGGGCGCGGGCACGGCGGGCGCAGAGGAGGGCGGGCACGCGGACCCAGCGGCGGCGCCCTCGCAGTCCCCTCCGCCCGGCGCGCTCTCCATCCCTGCCGGCCAATCACGGCCCGGAAGCCCCGCACGGACACGCCCTCTTCCCCCTTTCGCTCTCGCCCACCAATCCGGGGAAACTCTCCGCCTTTCGCGCGCTGCGATTGGTGCACAGCCTTGAGGGGAGAGTGGGCGTGGCTTAGAGCCGCGCGGCGAGCCAATCGGGTGGCTTCCTTTGCATCCCGCCGCTGCGGCCCTGCTGGACGACCAATCACGAGGCGGGGGGAGGGCGGGGCCAGGCGCGGCGCGGGAGACGCGTGTCTCGGCGCTCGTGTGAACGCGCCGCCGCAGAGAAGTCTCCTCGGGCTTCAGGGCTGCCGCAGGAACCCGAATCAAGGCAAGGCCTCCAGGTCTCTTTCCCTTCGTCATAACCCAAAGCGTGGGCCTCACAGGCATCTTTCTCCCGAGCCCATCCAGCCTCGACTTAGAGGCCTTCCAAATGAGGATGATGCAGGAAAAGCACAATCAAAGCAGCCCTGACAGATGGCCACCCAGCCTCTGCTTCAAAGCCTCCAAGGAAGGAGCCTCCCCCAGGCTCCGAGGCAGAGAGTTCCCCTGTTGAACACTTCTTCTTACAGCCAGGAAGTTCTCCCTAATGAGGTTCAGGTGGGATCTCCTTTCCTGAGATGGGAACCCAAGCCTCCTTGACTCCCAGTCTCCCTCTTGGTGTGCTTGCTGGGTCAAGCCAGGTTGCATTACATAGTGATGATGATGATGATGATAATGTACTGTCGAAGGCTTTCATGGCTGGAATCACTAGGTTCTTGTGAGGGTTTTTTTCGGGCTCTATGGCCATGTTCTAGAGGCATTTTCTCCTGACGTTTCGCCTGCATCTATGGCAAGCATCCTCAGAGGTCGTGAGGCCTGTTGGAAGTAGGAAAAAGGGTTTGTATATCTGTGGAATGATGTCCAGGGTGGGACAAAGAACTCTTGTCTGCTGGAGCTAGGTGGGAACGTTTCAACTGACCACCTTGATTAGCATTTGATGGCCTGACAGTGCCTGGGGCAATCTTTTGTTGAGAGGTGATTAGATGTCCTTGTTGTAGGCTTTTCCGGGCTATATGGCCATGTTCCCGGTGGCGCAGTGGGTTAAAGCGCTGAGCTTGTTGATCGAAAGGTCGCAGGTTCGATCCCGGGGAGCGGCGTGAGCTCCCGCTGTCAGCCCTAGCTTCTGCCAACCTAGCAGTTTGAAAACATGCAAATGTGAGTAGATCAATAGGTACCGCTCCGGCAGGAAGGTAACGGCGCTCCATGCAGTCATGCCAGGCCACATGACCTTGGAGGTGTCTACGGACAACGCTGGCTCTTCGGCTTAGAAATGGAGATGAGCACCAGAGTCCCAGAGTCAGGCATGACTGGACTCGATGTCAGGGGACTACCTTTACCTTTACTGTGGCCATGTTCTGGAGGCATTTTCTCCTGACGTTTCGCCTGCATCTATGGCAAGCATCCTCAGAGGTAGTGAGGTCTGTTGGAACTAGGAAAAAGGGTTTATATATCTGTGGAATGACCAGGGTGGGACAAAGGACTCTTGTCTGCTGGAGCTAGGTGTGAATGTTTCAACTGACCACCTTGATTAGCATTTGATGGACTGACAGTGCCTAGAGCAATCTTTTGTTGAGAGGTGATTAGATGTCCTTGTTTGTTTCCTCTCTGTTGTTGTGCTGTTGTAATTTTAGAGTTTTTTAATACTGGTAGCCAGATTTTGTTCATTTTCATGGTTTCCTCCTTTCTGTTGAAACTTGTGTATTTCAATGGCTTCTCTGTGTAGTCTGACATCTTTGTGTCATCTGACATGGTGGTTGTTGAACCAACCTGGACACAGGATATTATTGGAGACCACAGAAATGCTGGACCACTCCAGCAACCACCATGTCCGGCAACACAGAGAATCCATTGAAATCCACAAGAAGCACGTAGACAATGTCAACAGGAAGAAGGAGACCATGAAAATGAACAAAATCAGGCTAACAGTATTGGAAAAACTCTAAAATTACAACAGCACAACAGCAGGGAGGAAACAACCAGGCACATCTTAACACCTCTTAACAAAAGATTTCCCCCAGGCTCAGCCAGGCCTTCAAATGCTAATGAAGGTCGTCAGTTGAAACATTCACACCTAGCTCCAGCAGAGAAGAGCTCTTTGCCCCACCCCAGCCATTCCACAGATATATAAACCCATTGTCCTAATTCCAACAGACCTCACTACCTCTGAGGATGCTTGCCATAGATGCAGGCGAAACGTCAGGAGAAATGCCTCTAGAACATGGCCATATAGCCCGGAAAAAACCCCACAAGAACCCAATAATGATAATGATATTTATTTATACCCCGCCACCATCTCCCCAAGGGGACTCGGGGCGGCTGACATGACATGAGGCCAAGCCCAAACAACAAATTAAAATAGAAATTACAATAAAATAAACAACATTGCAGTATTTATGTATTATATTTATTATATTTATGCCCCACCCTTCTCACCCCAAAGAGGACTCAGAGCGGCTTACAAACTACAGAAAAATTTCAATGCTGCATCTTTACACAACAATGAACATCTATATAAATAAAAAGGTCATGTTCATTTGTGGGATTCACAGAACTCAAAAACCACGGGGCGAATTGACACCAGATTTGGACACAAGGCACCTAACCACCCAATGTATGTCCTTCACTAAAAAAAAAATTGATTTTGACATTTGGGAGTTGTAGTTGGGATTTATAGTTCACCTACAATCAAAGAGCATTCTGAACTCCACCAATGATGGAATTGAACCCATCTTGGCACACAGAACTCCCATGACCAACAGAAAATACTGGAAGAGTTTGGTGGGCGCATTGACCTTGAGTTTGGGAGTTGTAGTTCACCTACATCCAGAGAGCACTGTGGACTCAAACAATGATGGATCTGGACCAAACTTGGCACAAATACTCAATATGCCCAAATTTGAACACTGGTGGAGTTCGGTGGAAATAGACCTTGACATTTGGGAGTTGTAGTTGCTGGGATTTGTAGTTCACCTACAATCAAAGAGCATTCTGAACCCCACCAATGATGGAGTTGAATCAAACTTGGCACACAGTTCTCCCATGACCAACAGAAAATACTGGAAGAGTTTGGTGGGCATTGACCTTGCATTTTGGAGTTGTAGTTCACGTACATCCAGAGAGCACAGTGGGAGTTGTAGTTGCTGGGATTTGGACCAAACTCTACACGAATACTCAATATGCCCAAATGTGAACACTGGTGGAGTTTGGGGAAAATTGATCTTGACATTTGGGAGTTGTAGTTGCTGGGATTTATAGTTCACCTACAATCAAAGACATTCTGAACTCCATCAACGATGGAATTGAGCCAAATTTAGCACACAGAACTCCATGACCAACAGAAAATACTGGAAGGGTTTGGTGGGCATTGACCTTGAGTTTTGGAGTTGTAGTTCACCTATATCCAGAGTTCACTCTGGACTCAAACAATGATAGATCTGAACCAAACTGTACACAAATACTCAATATGCCCAAATTTGAACACTGGTGGAGTTCGGTGGAAATAGACCTTGACATTTGGGAGTTGTAGTTGCTGGGATTTGTAGTTCACCTACAATCAAAGAGCATTCTGAACCCCACCAATGATGGAATAGAATCAAACTTGGCACACAGTTCTCCCATGATCAAGAGAAAATACTAGCGTTTGGTGGGCATTGACCTTGACTTTGTGAGTTGTAGTTCACCTACATCCAGAGATCACTGTGGACTCAAACAATGATAGATCTGAACCAAACTCTACACAAATACTCAATATGCCCAAATGTGAACACTGGTGGAGTTTGGGGAAAATAGAATCTTGACATTTGGGAGTTGTAGTTGCTGGGATTTATAGTTCACCTACAATCAAAGAGCATTCTGAACCCCAACGATGGAATTGGGCCAAACTTGGCACACAGAACCCCCAGAGTGGGCCACAGCAAGGCGTGGAAGGGAATGGCTAGTAAAATTATAAAAAATTAAAACAGTAATACAGATTAAAAGCTTACAAGTCCCATATCATGATTTTCAGGCTAGATAGATTTCTCAAAGTTGTTATACAGAATCCTAGGTTACTTACTTACGTAGTCCGAGGATGATGGTTCTACAAGTGTAGTGTCCTGGCGGTGGGTCCGTAGGTGGCTGTGGAAATATAGGAAGTAAATAAATAAATAAATAAGTCATTAACGAGGATCCTGAACAGACCTGGGCCCAGGACCGGACCCTCTTCATGAAACGGTCCCCGCTATACGGTTTGGGCCTATTTCCACAAACACATTATTTATTTATTTATTTCATAATTTTACTAGCTGTTCCTTGCCAGGCGTTGCCGTGGCCCAGTCTGTTGATAAGGGAAATAAAATAATGAGAAAGTGTTGGTTTCTAATATATGTAATTTATTTATTTATTTATTTATTTATTTATTTGGTGCATTTATTGACCGCCGCTCTCAGCCCTAGGGCGACTCGCGGCGGTGTACAGCATATAAAAACAGTTTACAAAAAATAGAAACAAGAAATCCATACAACAATAATACACAATACTATAAGTTACACTAAATAATCCGCTTCGTCATATCATAGAATCATATCCAATATCGTAGTCCATATTCCGTTCCAGATGTCAATTGCCAGTTGCCGTAGTATTCAGTTAAATGCCTTCTCGAAAAGCCAGGTCTTTAGGCTCCTGCGGAAGGACAAAAGGGAGGGCGCCTGTCTGATGTCAACAGGGAGGTCGTTCCACAGCCGGGGGGCCACCACCGAGAAGGCCCTCTCTCTCGTCCCCGCCAGGCGTGCCTGTGAAGCAGGCGGGATCGAGAGAAGGGCCTCCCCAGATGATCTCAAGGTCCTCGTGGGCTCATAGGCCGAGATGCGGTCCGAAAGGTATTTTGGGCCGGAACCGTTTAGGGCTTTGTAGGATAGCACCAGCACCTTAAATTGGGCCCGGTAGCAGATCGGCAGCCAGTGGAGCTGGAACAGCAAGGGCATTGTATGCTCCCTGCGTCCCGCTCCTGTTAGTAACATGGCTGCCGCGCGCTGGACTAGCTGAAGCTTCCGGGCCGTCTTCAAGGGCAGCCCCACGTAGAGAGCGTTGCAGTAGTCAAGGCGGGATGTAACCAGAGCGTGGACTACCGTGGCCAAGTCAGACTTCCCAAGGTACGGGCACAGCTGGCGCACGAGCCTAAGCTGTGCAAATGCTCCCCTGGTCACCGCCGAGACCTGGGGTTCCAGGCTCAGCGATGAATCCAGGATCACACCCAAGCTGCAAACCTGCGCCTTCAAGGGGAGTGCGACCACATCCAACACAGGCTGTAACCCTATACCCTGTTCGGCCTTGCGACTGACCAGGAGTACCTCTGTCTTGTCTGGATTCAA